ATTTATTCTATTCTATTCATAATCTTTGTTTTCTATTCTATTCTTTTAATTCTGTTCTTTTCTTTTCTATTCAGTTCTTTTATTTTTCTATTCTATTTTATTCCTTTATTTTTTTATTCTATTCTGATCTGGTTTCTCTATTCTTTTCTAAATTACATTTTTGGAAGACGGCTATATTTTGCTTTTTCTATTCTATTCTTTCTTATCTATTCTATTTTAATCTAGTCTATTCTTTTTTAGTCAATTTTCTTCTAGTCTATTCTTTTCTATTCTATTCTATTCTTTTATATTCTGTTTCTTTTCTGCTATATCTGTGGGTAAAAGATTAAAAGTTTTTTTTTTAATGGTTGAACTTGATGGACTTTTGTCTTTTTTTCAGCCAGACTAACTATGTAACTACGTAACTATATTCTATTCCTTATTTTCTATTATATTTTAGTTCATTCCATCATATTCTATTCTGTTTTTTTCTATTATATTCTTCTCAAAATTCAAATTTTGGAATAATATTCTATTATTTTCAAATCTATAAAACTTTTAAAATTCTATTCTATTCAATTTTTTTTTACTCTATTCTGTTCTAGTCCATTCTATTATGTTTTTTTTCTATTCTTTTCGAAATTTAATTTTCTGAAGACAGCTCTATTTTAACACTAATGCACCTGGTCTTTTAAGGAAACCAGTAATAGTCAAATTTTCTAATTAGATTCAAATTTCAGTCGAAATTTTGTTTCATTATTTCAGATTTGTTTAAAGTTTGTTACTCTTGCAATTCAGAAATTTGGTTACATCTGTATCTACGAATAACGAAAATTTCAGCCAAATTTCAATTCGGATTGAAATGAACTGCACATGTCTAGACAAGAGTAGGAACCTGGAAAAGCCTTACTAATGGGACTTCAAGGAGGGAATCTCCCCATTGTGGGAGGGGCAGAGACACAAACTAAAGGGAGAATCTCCCCATTGTGGGAGGGGCTTAGACACACTACGGGGGCAGGGGAATCTCACTATTGTGGGAGGGGGCAGAGACACAAACTACAGGGGGAAATCTCCCCATTGTGGGAGGGGCAGAGACACAAACTCCTGCAGGAAATATCCCCATTGTGGGAGGGGCAGAGACACAAACTACTGGTGGGACCAAAGCTCACTATTGTGGGAGGGGCAGAGACACAAACTAATGCAGGGAAATCTCCTCATTGTGGGAGGGGCAGAGACACAAACTACTGCAGGAAATCTCACTATTGTGGGAGGGGCAGAGACACAACCATTGCAGGAAATCTCCCCATTCTGGGAGGGGCAGAGACACAAACTACTGCAGGAAATCTCCCCATTGTGGGAGGGGCAGAGACACAACTACTGCAGGAAATCTGACCATTGTGGGAGGGGCAGAGACACAAACTACTGCAGGAAATCTCACCATTGTGGGAGGGGCAGAGACACAAACTACTGGGGGAAATCTCACTATTGTGGAAGGGGCAGAGACACAAACTAATGGAGGAATCTCACTATTGTGGGAGGGGCAGAGACACAAACTAATGGAGGGAATCTCACTATTGTGGGAGGGGCAGAGACACAAACTACTTCAGGAAAGCTCACCATTGCGGGAGGGGCAGAGACACAAACTACTGGGGGAGGGGAATCTCACCATTGTGGGAAGGGCATAGACACAATCTATGAGGGGAAACGCTCACCATTGAGGGAGGGGCAGATACATAAACTACCGCAAGAAAATCCCATCATTGTGGGAGGGGCAGAAACACAAACTACTGGGAGAGAAATCTCACCATTGTGGGAGGGGCAGAGACACAAACTACTGGGAGAGAAATCTCACCATTGTGGGATGGGCAGAGACACAAACTACTGGGAGAGAAATCTCACCATTGTGGGAGGGGCAGAGACACAAACTACTGGGAGAGAAATCTCACCATTGTGGGATGGGCAGAGACACAAATTCTTGCAGGAGAATCTCACCATATCTGATTTAGAGTCACCATCTTAACTCATTAAATGAATTTCTGTCTGGAACACAATGACGTAGTCAGGTTGTAAATCCAACCGCTAACAGCTCAGAACAATCAAATAGTTCTTCTTATTTATTTTGGACATGATAGGCGGTGTTATCACATTTGGGTGATGGTTCGAGCCATTGGATGACCGGGCGAGGTGTCGGCATACACCCTGTTGAGAGAGCCGCGTGGCAGGACAATCCCCTCCGCACATTTTTCATAGCGCTGAGCGGCCCACGTCATTCGATGAGCTAAAATTTTAGCAATTCAGTTACATTAACAGTCTAATCTGCCGAGATTTTTTCCTCTAAACAATACTTTAACTTTTCAAGTTGTATGAAAGTGTTTCCTCCAAGTATCATCAACGCTGTTGGCAGACAGCAAAATCCTCCGCAGATTTACTGCCTTATTTCCAGTAGAAGAGGAACTTAAAGTGAACCTGTACTGTGTAATGTCGGGCAAAGGAAAGGGTTCACTGTGAAGTCTATGCACATCAAAAAGTTTTCATTTCTCAGATTTCTAATAGAGTAGGAAAGAGTTGAAGCCTAGTCAATGTCCCGATGGAGAAATTTTCCTTCAGTTCCCATCCCATAGACATGACAGGAAATGAGAGAAAATCTCTGCAAAGTCAGGGCAAATCCCTTCTTAGACAGTTGTCACTGGAACAGGTGACTGCATTAGAATCAGGGGCGGACTGACCATTTGGAAACTCTGGCACTGCCCAAGGGCCCGGGGTCAGTAGGGGGCCCCATGAGATGCCGCTGGTACCTTTTTTTAGGCTTTTTTGAGTTTGGGCAAGGACACAGGGGCCCCATGAGATGCCGCTGGTACCTTTTTTATAGGCTTTTTGAGTTTGGGCAAGGACACAGGGGCCCCATGATCCCCTATTGCCCGGGGGCCCCATGAGTTGTCAGCCTGCCCCCTGATTAGAAGATTTCCTTTTAGCTTTCTGGTGACAAGTTTCGACTTGCCATCACTTGCTCTATACCTATTGCCAAAAGTATTCCACGCACATGAACTTTAATGCCCTCCCAGTCATAGTCCATAGGGTCCAATATTGAGTTGGCCCCGCCCTTTCCACGCACATGAACTTTAATGGCATCCCAGTCTTAGTCCGTAGGGTCCAATATTGAGTTGGCCCCGCCCTTTCCACACACATGAACTTTAATGGCCTCCCAGTCTTAGTCCGTAGGGTTCAATATTGAGTTGGCCCCGCCCTCTGCAGCTATAACAGCTTCAACTCTTCTGGGAAGGCCGTCCACAAGGTTTAGGAGGGTGTCTATGGGAAGGTTTCACCATTCTTCAACCAGTGCATTGTGAGAGCCATGATTGGCCAAAGCACTGCATCTGACAATAGGTCATTTGGCCAATCACAGCACAATTGACGTCGGCGGTGCCTATGCCTTTAGCCATGCCTATATGTTTACATCTGACTGGCAAATCTCAGACCTGCCATTTGTGGTGTGTGCTTGGCGTGTGCTCGGTGTGTGCGGAGGGGTGGGCGCTTTTTTTCTTTTTTCTGCATGTCGGTGTCGTCATGACAATGCTGGACGCCATGATTGATGATGGATTACGATGGAACCATTTTTTCCCCTTTTTTTTATTAAAGGACTTGTCAAAAACTGTTTTTGTTCAATGGAAGGAATTTTTCAAAAGTCTGGCGTCTTTATTTTTGCTGAGTTTAACCCTTTAGTGAATGGGTAGGGGTACAAGTACCCCACCAACTTGCCCTTTAATAAAAAATTGTTTAAAACTATAGATACCCTAGAAAAGGAAGAGTTGGATGGAAAAATGTGAGTGGTGTGGTTTTATGCTGAGTTAAAACCCACCATTGCCTAATTAGTCATTTATTTACAGTGTTACTAAACCCACAACAGTACAATCAGTCTGTAGATGCAGTAAAGCATGCTTGTTATACTCACTGTGGAACCTAAGGGGGTAATCCTCTGCATTGTGTAAAAAGACTGTGTGATCCTGTCTTCTCTGCCCCTCCTCTTGTTCAAATGACCACCAGATAAAGACTGAATCTGTAGTCACATGCACATGCTCAGTTTGGTGTATATTGCTAGAGAGGTTTTTATTTCTTGGGAGAGTGCATGTGATCAGCAGAGGGCCAATCAGCACTGTCCAGACAGAGGTCAGGGGTCCTGCATCCGCCTAGAGCAGAAAGAAAACTCCTCCTGGAAGCTTACCAGTGCTCTGCTGAAGTCACAAGACTGATATATACTGCTGATGGGAAAAGGTATTTAGCAGTTTATAGTTACTACAATAATTGCATTTCCATTTTGTGCATACTGTGGGAGACCAGATATAGTGAATGCAGGGTCCGGGGAGACCAGATATAGTGAATGCAGGGTCCGGGGAGACCAGATATAGTGAATGCAGGGTCCGGGGAGACCAGATATAGTGAATGCAGGGTCCGGGGAGACCAGATATAGTGAATGCAGGGTCCGGGGAGAGCAGATATAGTGAATGCAGGGTCCGGGGAGACCAGATATAGTGAATGCAGGGTCCGGGGAGACCAGATATAGTGAATGCAGGGTCCGGGGAGAGCGGATATAGTGAATGCGGGGTCCTGGGAGAGCGGATATAAAGAATGCAGGGTCCGGGGAGAGCGGATATAGTGAATGCGGGGACCGGGGGGGCAGATATAGTAAATGCAGGGTCCGGGGAGAGCGGATATAGTGAATGCGGGGTCCGGGCAGAGCGGATATAGTGAATGCAGGGTCCGGGGAGAGCGGATATAGTGAATGCGGGGTCCGGGGGGAGAACGGATATAGTGAATGCAGGGTCCTGGGAGAGCGGATATAGTGAATGCGGGGTCCGGGGAGAGCGGATATAGTGAATGCAGGGTCCGGGGGAGACCAGATATAGTGAATGCAGGGTGCGGGCAGAGTGGATATAGTGAATGCAGGGTCCGGGGAGAGCGGATATAGTGAATGCAGGGTCCGGGGAGAGCGGATATGGTGAATGCGGGGTCCGGGGAGAGCGGATATAGTGAATGCGGGGTCCTGGGAGAGCGGATATAGTGAAGCAGGGTCCTGGGAGAGCGGATATAGTGAATGCAGGGTCCAGGGAGAGCGGATATAGTGAATGCGGGGACCGGGAGGGGGGGCAGATATAATGAATGCAGGGTCCGGGGAGCGGATATAGTGAGTGCAGGGTCCGGGGGGGCAGATATAGTGAATGCGGGGACCGGGGGGGGGCAGATATAGTGAATGCAGGGTCCGGGGAAAGCAGATATAGTGAACACATTGTCTGGGGTTTAGTTACATTTTAATTCTTTCTTTGACAGGTTTATATTTTCACCGACTCCATTACTCTTCAAGGAAGTATTTGTTACCTTGTCCAGTTGTGATGGGTTATTGGCTATGAAAACCAACAGCCACCAACAAGGGAAGACATTTCAGTATCATCATCAACTGCTTTTGTTGCTGGGAGGAAGGTTCTCCCTTACAGACTGTGGAGAACTCATCACAACAAACAGATCTTTAAATAGCCCCCTCCTGAAAGACAATATCTTGGCTCGGTCCTAAAAATAGAAGGTATGGTGAGAAATTCCACCTCCGGGCTGCAGACAGCTCAGGCCTTGCATTGTCTTGAATGTATTTAAAACCTGCATTATATTCAAGGTTACAAGAGCCTGAGCCAAAGTATACCTTGAAAACATGTTCTCACCCTCATTACAAGCTGTGGTATGTCTGACTCCTCTTTCGCACCTCTTCTTTTAAAGTGCAACACCACTTTTGTTGAGAAAGAAAAACGCTCCCCCCTTGGGGATGGATCTATGTACACTGCAAGTGTAGCACCCTTCTAGAATAGGTTACTAGAAGGGTTCAGGAAAATCTCGTTCTTTGGCTCCTCTGTAATCATTGGAGCGGTGTATGATTATTTTTGGCTGTTCTGGGTCTTACTGGCTGCAGGCTCAACTACTTCCCTCTGCCTTCTGGTAGATTCTGGAATGTAGTGGGTTGAAAGGGTCAGACCCTGGGCCTGAATATTTATGTGATCTCAGTCAATACCTGGGGGGGGAGTAAAAATTCTGGGGCCTGGAGCAGCAGGGTTCTTGTCCAGGAGGAGAAGACCTTATCCCAAAGGTCAGTAAAGATGAAGTCTGTAGGAGCTCAAAGTGCAAACTCAGTGAGAGCTGGGGGGACTACTTTCTGGAAACAGCTGGATCCAAATCAAGGGGACTTAGCCCCCTTTCAGACGGGGCTGACCCATCAGCCAATCCACAGGTGATCTCTCTGCTGATCACCACTGAGCAAGTGAATGACAGTTTTGTGTCCGCTCCACTGCTGCAGAGTGGACACAGCCTACTGTTTTCTATGAGGTGGTCGAATGGAAATGGACCGCCTGTCCGCTTCCACCTGACTGTCATCTGATCCGATCTGCTGGAGGGAACAGGAACGGATCCCCATCTGTCTGTTTTTAGAGTAAGGATCAGATCAGATGCCAGAGGACACATGTCTGC